CGCACACACACACACACTCACCCACTCATACGCACACACACACTCACTCTCACTCACTCACTCACTCACTCACTCACTCACTCATACGCACACACACTCACTCTCACTCACTCACTCACTCACTCACTCACTCACTCACTCACTCACTCACTCACTCACTCATACGCACACACACTCACTCTCACTCACTCACTCACTCACTCACTCATACGCACACACACACACACTCACCCACTCATACGCACACACACACTCACTCTCACTCACTCACTCACTCACTCACTCACTCATACGCACACACACTCACTCTCACTCACTCACTCACTTACTCACTCACTCATACGCACACACACACACACTCACCCACTCATACGCACACACACACTCACTCTCACTCACTCACTCACTCACTCACTCACTCATACGCACACACACTCACTCTCACTCACTCACTCACTCACTCATACGCTCACACACACACACTCACCCACTCATACGCACACACACACTCACTCTCACTCACTCACTCACTCACTCACTCACTCACTCATACGCACACACACTCACTCTCACTCATTCACTCACTCACTTACTCACTCACTCATACGCACACACACACACACACACACACACACACACTCACTCACTCACCCACTCATACGCACACACACACTCACTCTCACTCACTCACTCACCCACTCATACGCACACACACACACACACACACACACACACTCACTCACTCACCCACTCATACGCACACACTCACTCAAGCCCCGTTCAAGCCCCGTTCACACTACACGCGACCAAGCGACGTGATACCATTCATTTCAATGGTGAGCGGGCGATTTCCGGCGACAGCGACCGTTGGCGACCGGATGGGGCGTGTCTGGCGACGCGACAAAGTTGAGATCTGTTTAACTTTATGCAAATGAGGAGCGACTTTCGGGAGCGACAACCAATAGGAGCGGAGCGCGTATGATCCTTCTCCACATCATTGGATGTCATTCATAAAGGCAACCAGTAGTGGGAACTCCCACTAGCGACTCCATCGCCAGCCACTGGCGACATGCAGCGACAAAGTCGCTTGTAGTGTGAACGGGGCTTCACTCATACGCACACACTCACTCACTCTCACACACACACACACACTCCAGACATGTTGCATATCAGCCAGAGCAGCTGTTCTCTATTTACAGATATGACGAGACACACACAGGCGAGTGACGGATGTACAGTTTCCCGCCAAAACCACCCGACAGGCCTAAAATATAAACACTTATAATAGACCTGACAGTGAATCAGAGTCAGAAAAACATGTTTTGGAAGAAGGATTGATGTATTGATGATTCGTTATTTAAATTGATCATTTTGAACAAAAAGTTACACAGTGCACCTTTAATAATATAAATTAGGCCATCGCCTTGGAAGCTCATTATAATAACTGCACACTCTCCTTGAAGGACACTTTATGCATGTTCAGAATATAAAAAAAAGTTTTAGCTCATTTTATAAAAACAATTAGTCCTCATTCTACATTAAAGACTCCCACAATGGCTGTTGAAGTGAATGTTGTTGGTTTGGTAGGTCATCTTTCCCTCTTTATGCTGTCGGTCAAACATGTTGTTATGACACTTCCTGACAGTGAAATACTCACCTGTTGACAATCATCCAGCTTATGTTTCATCCAGTCGTTATATATTAATGCACCGACATGCTGTTGAGCACATAACAGGTAGTTAGTGTGTTGCTTCTCCTGAGAGTGTGTGTGTGTGTGTGACTCCAGAGACCTGCTGAGAGACAGTCGAGGAGAGCGAGTGTGTCATATAATGTGATATTGTTCATAGCTTTGGGGGAAAGTGAAGCCAGAGCTGTAAGTCTCACACAGACGCTCGCTGCTGATTGGCTGCTCTGATCCGCTCGCTGCTGATTGGCTGCTCTGATCCGCTCGCTGCTGATTCGCTGCTCTGATCCGCTCGCTGCTGATTGGCTGCTCTGATCCGCTCGCTGCTGATTGGCTGCTCTGATCCGCTCGCTGCTGATTGGCTGCTCTGATCCGCTCGCTGCTGATTCGCTGCTCTGATCCGCTCGCTGCTGATTCGCTGCTCTGATCCGCTGGCGCTCGGATCCGGCAGAATCCAGGTCATGTGCAACTGAAGCAATAATCCCCCTGTCAGGCCTGAAACACTCTTAAATGAGGTAAAATGCACGACTGTGGGTTTATTTTTTTATTTTTTATTATTAAGCATGAAGCAACAGTAATATGATGATTAATAAATAAATTGGTTTTACATTTTTATTGCTTTATTTCATTCTTTTTAATTAAATTTTTTGTTAATTTTAGATTTTATTATTTTTAATTGCATTTAAAAAATATATATATTTTATTTGTATTCAAAATTGCATTTTCTTTTCATATTTTGATTAGATTTAATGTTTTTTTTAATATTACTTTTATTAATAACATTTATTTTTTATTTAAATGTGATTAACTGCTACATGAATGCTCTTAGGAATATCAGCCCAAGTTTTTATAAGCGGGAAATTACTTTTATTAAGCTTTAAAGAACAGTAATATGATGATTAATAAATCAATTGGTTATTAATAATGATAATTTTATTTAAAATGTATTATTTTTACAATTATTTTGTTAATTTTAGATTTTATTATTCTTTATTGCATTTAATTTATTTTTAACATTTTATTATTCTTAATTGCATTTTCTTTTCATGTTTTAATTCGATTTTTAATGTTATGTTATTATTATTATTATTAATTTAATTAATTTTTATTTAAATGTGATTAACTGCTACATGAATGCTCTTAGGAATATCAGCCCAAGTTTTTATAAGCGGGAAATTACTTTTATTAAGCTTTAAAGAACAGTAATATGATGATTAATAAATCAATTGGTTATTAATAATGATAATTTTATTTAAAATGTATTATTTTTACAATTATTTTTAACATTTTAGATTTTATTATTCTTTATTGCATTTAATTTATTTTTAACATTTTATTATTATTCTTAATTGCATTTTCTTTTCATGTTTTAATTCGATTTTTAATGTTATTTTATTATTATTATTAATTTCATTAATTTTTATTTAAATGTGATTAACTGCTACATGAATGCTCTTAGGAATATCAGCCCAAGTTTTTATAAGCGGGAAATTACTTTTATTAAGCATTAAAGAACAGTAATATGATGATTAATAAATAAATTGATTGATGATAGGGATCATGATCAGAATGAATGCACCAAGACCTCGGGAGAAACTGAGGCGGTTTCGGCTTCGTTCGTCTCGCTGGTTTCAAGGTCTTATTGCTGTAGCTCATGATTATGATTATGATGATGTCACCTCACCACAGTAGAGCTCCAGACGACATGACCTCATGAAGTTCTTGAGTCGTATTGCATGCCTGAGTGCACAGAGGAAGTTCAGCTCACAAGTGCCACCTAATATTATACACACCCACTTCCTGTCTGAAAGCCCTCTCTTCCTGTCCTGGAACATTCACTCTGCCTTCTTTATTTGGGGCCTTATTTTTTTTTTTTGTGTGAGTGTCGGTGTGCTTGAGTGTGTGTGTGTGTGAGAGAGAGTGTGTGTGAGAGAGAGAGAGAGAGAGTGTGTGTGTGTGTGTGTGTGAGTGTGTGTGAGTGTGTGTGAGTGTGTGAGAGTGTGTGAGAGTGTGTGAGAGTGTGTGAGAGTGTGTGAGAGTGTGTGAGAGTGTGTGAGAGTGTGTGAGAGTGTGTGTGAGTGTGTGTGAGTGTGTGAGAGTGTGTGAGAGTGTGTGAGAGTGTGTGAGAGTGTGTGAGAGTGTGTGAGAGTGTGTGAGAGTGTGTGAGAGTGTGTGAGAGTGTGTGAGAGTGTGTGAGAGAGTGTGTGAGAGTGTGTGAGAGTGTGTGAGAGTGTGTGATCCCACAGCTGTAATCCTGCTGCGTTACACCACTGCCACATCTTTAATCTCTGTGATTTAGGAAAACACAGACTCAAAGTCTTGAGATTACACACAGCACAGGAGGACACATTATGATTATCAGCAGACTCTCTCTCACAAACACACACACACACACACACACGAAACAGAGGCTTTAAAACAAACGGAGTTGAAGGAAATGAGCAGATTTAGGTGTGTTTCACCCTGAAGACTGTCTTGTTTTCTGCTTTGATTTCTTCTGATTTTGGTCGTGTTGAATCGATCACACGTGTGTCTGAAATCATCCAACATCTCACTGCTGATGATGTCAAGAAGCGCCATCATATTATGACATCATTATAATAGTGTGTGTGATTGAAAGCGTTTCCTACACATGTTTTTGGCAATAAATACAGTGTTAATGAGCATATGTGGTACGGGTGTAACATTTATATCGTATCGCAATACAAAAATGCAACAATATGTATGTATCATGGATAGTGACAGTATTGTGTATAATTCGCCCAAAATGAAAATGACTGTGAAAAAAGTTCTTAGAGTTATTATAAAAGATTTCAAATTAATAAAATACGTGGAGTTATTAGAATTTTAGTGTCAGTACTATATCAAACTACTATATATAATGTATAATAATGCAATATGGGAATATTTATGGCTCCTGATAATGCCAAATATCTGATGTTATGTTAAGTTATGTTAAAAAGTGGCCTATATATATATATATAGTCAGTGAAAGAGTGCAAGCATATTCATCTAAAATAAATCTGTATTTTCAGCTTCAGAATCATGAATATTGTTATTCTGGTGTCTCTATTGTCCTGTGCTTTGGGTTTTGGCTCCAAGTCTATTCATTTACACACACAATGTAATAAATCAAATTTAGCATTTTAATCAACAGTATACTTTTTGTTAACCTTTTATCATATGTTTTGGAGTATCGCAATAATATCGTATCGTGATCTGTATCGAATCGTGACATGAGGTTATCGTTACACCCCTAATATGTGGGGTTAGGTTATTGTTGTGATATTAAACCCCCAAGGTCTTTCTTTGGCAGTAAAGTGATGGCGGATCTGAGCTTGACCGATGCTCTGAGCGACAGCGTTCCTCAGCCGGACGTGGAGAAGGCGGTGGAGAGGGACTTCATCTCCACGCTGGAGGCCGAGGCCTTCGAGGATCAGGTCGGAGAGACCGTGGGCAAGACCGACTTCATCCCACTCCTGGACACTGATGGGAAGGGTGAGTCTCAGCTGTGGATGAATCAAAGGGATAGTTCACCTAAAAATGAAAATTAGCCCATGATTTACTCACCTTGACGTCATCCTAGGTGTATATGACTTTCTTCTTTCAGACGAACACAATCAGTTCTATTAAAAAATGTCCTGGCTCTTCCAAGCTTTATAATGGCAGTGGATGAGTGTATGTCTTTGGGAGTCCATCAAAGTGCATCCATCCATCATAAAAGTGCATCTGTCCATCATAAAAGTGCATCTGTCCATCATAAACAGATGCACTTTTATGATTGATAGATGCACTTTTATGATGGACAGATGCACTTTTATGATGGATAGATGCACTTTTATGATGGACAGATGCACTTTTATGATGGACAGATGCACTTTTATGACGGACAGATGCACTTTTATGATGGACAGATGCACTTATCATGGACAGATGCACTTTTATGATGGATAGATGCACTTATGATGGACAGATGCACTTTTATGATGGACAGATGCACTTTTATGATGGATAGGGGCATTTTTATGATGGACAGATGCACTTTTATGATGGATAGATGCACTTTTATGATGGACAGATGCACTTTTATGATGGACAGATGCACTTTTATGATGGACAGATGCACTTTTATGATGGATAGATGCACTTTTATGATGGACAGATGCACTTTTATGATGGATAGATGCACTTTTATGATGGATAGATGCACTTTTATGATGGACAGATGCACTTTTATGATGGACAGATGCACTTTTATGATGGATAGATGCACTTTTATGATGGATAGGGGCACTTTGATGGACTTTCAAAGACATACACTCATTCACTGCCATTATAAAGCTTTGAAGAACCAGGACATTTTTTTAATAGAACTGATTGCATTCGTCTGAAAGAAGAAAGTCATACACTGATACACACCTAGGATGATTTCAGGGTGAGTAAATCATGGGCTAATTTTCATTTTTGGGTGAACTGTCCCTTTAACAGGTTAACCGGTCCGAACGTCACCACACGTTTCTGAACCGCTCCTTTAGGGCTGCACGATTATAACAAAAATCATAATTGTCGATTATTCCCTTGAAATTGTGATTTATTAATTATGATTAATTGAGTGATGTTTTTAATAGCTTTATACCAGTGGTTCCCAATTGTTTTGGCCATGGGACCATATATATATATATATAGGCTTATTCTAATAAATTTAACACAAAAATTGTTGACACACACAAGTACTGTTCCCCTTTACTTAACATACACATAAATTGTAAGAATATGACTAATACTGATAAATAAACAGTAGACCTATGAAGTAAAGCTATTAAATAAGTAGTTTTTGTTAATACGATGTTGGTATGAGCACCACAGTCATTTAAAAATATACAAAATAACACAGTGAAATTAAAGTGACTTACAAGAACTGTTACTGAATCATGGAAACTGCTCCTGATGAACAGAATGAACATCATACAAATCCTCTCAGCGAATACATGATGACATACCAGTGACGTGATTTATTAGTCTTTTACTTTTATTTCGTGACTTACTAATTTGCAACGTAACGATGTTTAATGCTCGTAGTTTCTTTTGCGCTTTTATATATAGTGCAATTGAAGAGTGTGTGCTACTAGCGCAGTACAGCGGCTCTTTATTATAGACTCTTATTATAGACTCTTTATTTCAGCGTACACTAACATCACTGGTAGTTCCTATTGTTCTGGGTTTTCTGTAGTCATGATTCGCCTCTCACAGCGTAACACGCTCTAAACACACCTCTTAAAGGGATAGTTCACTTTGAAATACATTTTTGGTGTGTTTTAGCTTACCTCAAGGGCATCCAAGATGTAGGTGTCTTTGTGTCCGCAGTAGTTTCAATTTTGATATTTTTAGGTCAAACCGTTCTTGTCTGTCAGTCATATAATGCAGGTCTATGGTCACCACCTCAAAGAGCATGCACAGAGAAGTCCAAATTACACATGATTTAATGACTCGTAAATGTAAGTACACATTGATGGCCTAAGACACGAAACGAGCGGGTTGTGTGAGCAAACGAACAGTATTTATATCGTTTTTACCTCTTGTAACCACAGCCACGTCCAAGTGATCTGAGGGCGCCGGCGCTTCGGTCTGCGCAAGCGCCGGACGTGATCTCTCGCGCGTGTACGTCACTCATTGTTTACACAGAGATTTCGGAAGTGTTACCTTTCACTGTGAAGATCTAAACATATTTAGATATACAGGAAATCGCAATGGAAGACGATTTTGATATATCAACAGACAACGTTGAATTTTTTTCGCAACCGCGCGAGAGATCACTTCCGCCGCTTGCGCAGACCGAAGCGCCCGCGCCCTCAGATCACTTGGACGTGGCTGTGGTTACAAGAGGTAAAAACGATTTAAATACTGTTCGTTTTCTCACACAAACCGCTCGTTTCGTGTCTTAGGGTGTATTCACTCCAGGAAAGTCCGATAGTTCACTTGCTTTGGTCCGGACCAAATAAAAATTTTTTTTTTTTTTTTTTTTTTTTTTTTTTTTGGTACGGTTCGCTTTCACACTGCTCTTTTTGCAAGTGAACCAAAATTTGTAAACAAAACCCCACGTGTGCTAAGGTCGTCCATTCATTGGACAAGGATTCTCAAGTAGGGAAATCAGGAAGTGCAAAAAAGGCTCAGCATGGAGATATTTCGTACTGCAATATTTGTTCTTTTACTAATTTTGTGTTATTCTGTGCTACATGGGCATCTGCCCAAATGTTAATAAGGCAGCTCGTCTCTTCGAAGCTCCAGGTCGACTCATTTTATCATGTAGTAGGCTACAACAGATCACTTTCCCATAACGCAACTCCGACTACGGAAGCCTGTTAACTCAAAGGCGCAGTGCTTTCTTGCAATTGGGTCGGTTCATGTTCACACCGTAAACGAGCCGTACCAGAGTTCGTTTGGAAGCGTACCGAGGCCACCTCTTCAGCTGGGTCTCAGTTCGGTTGTTTGGTCCGCACCCGAGTTCGATTGCTGTATTCACACCTGCCCAAAAGGTCCGCACCAAGGGGGGAAACGAACTAGAGTTCGATTCAATCGAACCAAACAAGGCAGGTGTGAATTAGGGCTGTCAAAATTGCTCAAAAATGACGTTCGAATATTCCCTCTAAAAAAAACACATATATTCGAACTATCCGAAAATCTGGTTGCGCATTTTGTCAATGACGCGCATTACGTCAATAACAGGACAAATTAATACAAAGAGACACAACTACTTGTATAGGTAGTTTATTTAAGTTTAAACATATTTGACAACGTATTAACTTACACAAAACCAAGTAAATCAACTAATGGCCAAGACCGCAGACCTTACTCTCGCTCGCACTCACAGGCACTCTCTCTCTCTCTCTCTCTCTCTCTCTCGCCCTCACGCTCTCTGCGCATAACGGTTTAAATGAACAACAATAAACAAATGTTGAGTGCTGATCAAGAGTTTTGTGCAAGCAATTTAAGGTCGCGACTCTTGTCCTAAATATAGCAGGCTTAATTCAGTTTTACAGTATATAGAACCGACATTGAACGCTCCGAGCGAGCTGTGCTGTGGTAAACTGCTGCTAGCCTGCTACATGGCTATTTCGAGGGCGTCTGGCCACGCCCCCTTGGCGGGCTCTGACGTGTCTGATGTAATGCTAGCTCATTGGCGCACACGTTGGAGGCGCCCGTGCCATTGGATGTGCAGTTGCCGCAGCACAGCCAATGAGTGAGCCAGACACTCGCTGTGCTAGCTGTGCAGCTGGAAAATGCGTTTTACATTTTAAGCTTCAGAATTTTGCCTCTCGCAAAGCAGACAGCCGCGCCTCTGCTGCCGCGGGCGTTTTTCCACATGATTCGAATATTTATTTTCACCTTCGAATTTCTGTTTTTTTAAACTATTCGAATATATATTCAAATTTAGAATATTCGTTGACAGCCCTAGTGTGAATACACCCTTAGGCCATCAATGTGTACTTACATTTACGAGTCATTAAATCATGTGTAATTTGGACTTCTCTGTGCATGCTCTTTGAGGTGGAGACCATAGACCTGCATTATATGACTGACAGACAAGAACGGTTTGACCTAAAAATATCAAAATTGAAACTACTGCGGAAACAAAGACACCTACATCTTGGATGCCCTTGAGGTAAGCTAAAACATACCAACAATTAATTTCAAAGGGAACTATCCCTTTAAGCACAGGACTTTTTTTGTAATTGCGGCTTTGAACGATTACGTAATCGTGGCGTCCGTAATCGCGATTAGAAATCCGATTAATTGCGCAGACCTACTCTCCTTATCAGTAACCTGTGATGTTCATTGTGTTTCTGTGTGAAATAAGCTCTTCCTCTGGGTTTATTGGTCTGTGTGTTTGATTGCAGGAGTTTGTTTGCATTGAGCAGATTGTGTGTTTGTCAGGAATCTGCCGTCGGCTTTTGAGGAGTTTCCCATTCAGACGGCGCTAATTGTGTGTGTGTGTGTTGTGTGTGTGTGTGTGTGTGTGTGAACAGATCCAGATACAGTTGTCAAGAACGGACAGCAGGAAGGCCAAGGGTCTCAGACCCCTGGTAAGAAGCCGTCTCCCCAGTTTACTTCCGGGTGTCACTCCATTATTTGATTCATTCCTTGGTTTGCTTGTCTTCTTCATGCTCATGCTCAGTTCAGCTCATTTGTTTTGGTTGGACGTTGGTCGTCTCAGTGGGTGTAGAGGGACTGAAACCTTCATTTGTAAAGGTTTTAGTTTAGTTTTTAATTGCATGTTTGTCCCGTTAGCAGTGAATTGAATAGCATCTGTCTTTATACTTTCCCCTCAATCTGTTTTTGTGACGTCATCTTAGATCATCCTGTCACATGATGCCTGTCTGTGGGCTTTAACTGTGCCAAACCTTTATTTACAGTTAGTATGGCCTGTTTTGCATGAAATGCATCTGTTGTAAGTCTATTTACTATAAGCGTGTTTCCTATGTGCATGCATGTTGAGGGACCGGTTATGGATATTGAGATTGTGCATTATGTCCAGTATTTAGTCTGATTTGAACTCTTTATAATGCTAAAATATCTCCCTATATATTAATTTCAACCAATTGCTGATAATTCAGACAGTAAATGGTTAGTTAATAGGTGTAAAGTTAATAGGTCTCGTTTATGATGCACAAACGCATGTAAATTGTTCATTAAATTAGAACTGTAAAACGATTAATCGCATCCAAAATAAGTTTGTTTTCATAATATGTGTGTGTGTGTATTGTGTATAATTATTTTGTATACATAAATACACACACATGCATGTACACATTTAAGAAATATTTGCATGTATATATATATATTATAAATAAATATAAATATTTTATATATAAACAACATATTTTTCTTAAATGTATACATACATGCATGTGTGTCTATTTACGTACAAAATAATTATACACAGTACACACACACATATTATGTAACTTATTTTGGATGCGATTAAGCACGATTAATTGTGTAACAGCCCTATGTTACATTATTATGTGTAGTAACATTAATTTGTAACGCAGCAACGTATTCAAGACCGGTTTCATGATCAAGATGTGTTTTGTATTCCACGTTTTGTGATTCTGGAAATACGGTTTATATGTTCCCTAAACTTGCAATCTGATTCACATATTCGTTTACATTTATTCTAGATATAACGGCAGGATATGCGCAGTGCTAAAGGTGTTTTTGAATCCGATTTAAAGAGTAGTTAAGGCCTGTACCAGCCCTTTAAATCGCATCAAAGGTGTTTTAGTCATTAGTAATGAATTGCTTAGTAGCCAACGACTGCAAATCTGAGGAAAGGAAAGCCTAGTGAGTCTGTTTTTAGTTCTGTTATATTTCCATGCGTGTCGTCTCCCATGTCTTGATCCGTCAGCGCTTTTTGCTCTTGTTGGTTCAGCATGGTCTTAATCGCCTCTTTTCCACACACTGGTATGACAGTAATCATTTCCACTCACACACAAGAGCAAAACGCTTCAGACGGGGCGAGTCGCACTGTCATTGAGCGCTCGTTCACCGACTCACTGCAGCTCAACTAAATCACTATCAGTTTATGATTTCACTGCACAGCAAAGACGTTTCACAGCGTTTCTGCAAGAAGAAAATAAGTGCAACAATTCAGCCTCAAGTGCATCATTGATTTTATAAAAAGAATGCTTACTAAAAATGATAAAGCCTACTGTATCATACTTGAAATATGGCTTTCTAAGTTGCTGAAAACCTTTTTTACACAATCTCCCACATGCCTTCTGATAGTTTAGACTTTTTTTAGTGGCTAAAAAGTCGTTTAGTGTAAATAATAAAATGCCCTCGTGCATTTTTGCTATGAACTCTGTACTGATTTTATAAATCATCTTACTAGGACATTGGCGGATATAGAGTGACGACTGATATTTAATGCACGTATCCGCTATATTCTGTTATAAAGATCTCACTGATTTACATCACAAACATCAGAGTTTCATATAAATATCAAACAGCTGTAGCAAACTGCTTATATTTGAATAATATTGAGCTGTTTTTGTCCTTCATATTTTCACTATTATCATAAAAGCCTGATGGATGAAATATGATGCAAAAAAATACAATGCGTATGCAAATTCTCTTTTTTTTTTACATAAACAGTAAAAAAAAATGGAACAATTATTTCCTAGACACGATATTGATGAGCGCATCGCCCAGCGCTGTTCTTGTTGTTCTGCCGAGTGTCCTGAAGATGGCGCTGCTTCCCCTCCATGAGTCTCTCGTCCTGTATGAGCTCTGGATTCACAAACATTCATCATTCATGATTGTGAAAGTTTGTCTTGCATGCGTAAGTAGGGCAGAGGATCTACTATAGAGAGATCTTGATGTGCTCGTGCTGTATATGTGCTGCATGATCTGACACGATGATTGACAGGTGTGAAGTACTAACCAGCGCTGTTGTTCTCTTCCCGTCTGCTGTTTCTTTCTGCCCTGCGTCGTGTGTGTGTGTGTGTGTCGCTTCAGACGACTAGATCTTCATCTGCTTCCCGACCGCTCTTGCTTTGCTCCGCTGAACCTTCTGGAAACCCGTTCCCAACTGCACTTCTCCCTGCCTGAGGACTCGGATGTGTTCGGGGAATAGCAAACCCTCGTGAGCTGCTGTGCTGTCTACATAGGGGCCGTTCACACACATTTATTTAACCATTGCAACACGCTGCCAGTCTTTAGATGCAGCGACACGTCCTTATGAACGGCTCTCGAAAGCACAATGAAAGCCGTTTTATTTTCCCCAGAAGCCCGTTTTAAATTGTTTCTGGATTCCATTGTAATGGTTAAATTCAATTGTAGTAATCCAAAATCATGTCTAGTTTATTGAAATCATGAGGATTACACAAATCTAACAGCAATTTATTAAAAGATTAACAAAAATCACATTTTTATGGCCCTATGAAATTAATTGTATTTCCCCCCATAATTCTGTTTTTTTCTGGATTCTTTTTAATGGTTTCATTTTAATAATCAAAAAGCATGTCTAATCAATTGAATTAATAAAACCTTAACAGTTGCACAATTCATTAACATTTTTGTATTATAAAAGGGTCCTTTTAATTATTATTATTTATTTATTTATTTTAGAAAATGTGTGATTTAATATATGTTTATTATCATAATTTTTTTTATAAAACCATCAATTTAATTTACATTTGATTTTAATTAATATTGTTTGATGCTAGTATTTTTCTAATCACATGATACTAAAAAAAATGGGACAAAAACATTTATTAATATTTTTTTTTAGATACAATTTTGCTTAATCCACTATTTTGGATGAGGTTTGTCCATCGCAAGGCATTCTGGGATGTTTTCTCTCATGTTTGTGGCTCACTAGGTTTAAAACAGATGTACTTCATCTCCTCTGTGATGCATTTAATCCTGTAAAGCCTGACATATGAAATAACAGTCAGAAAAATCTTTTTTTTTTTTTTTTTTAATGTAACCATTTATTGAAAATTGCATATGTGTTTTTTAAGTATCATGTTTGAAACAGGCTTTTATGACTCTTATTGTCTGATATAGTCAGAATATGGATTAAAAAACAGCAAATTCTGATGCAAATCAATGAGATCTTTATAGACTACTGACATAAAATCATATAAATATCAGTCGTCACCCTATATCTGCTATTAATGTCTTAGTTAGATGATATTTAAATGCTTAGTTTTATGATATAAAACATATAATGCAATGCAATACATTGATGAACAAATAAAACTTCCTCAAAAGCCTGATGATCATATTTGATATTCACATTTTAGCATGATTAAAAAAAAAAAAAAAAAGATTTTTATTTATTATCCAGTTCAACTTGAAATATTACTAGTAGTAATATCAAATATCATCATTGTTCTTATGCTTACTTTATAAAAATCAGCAAAGATTTCACAGCACACTCAAAGGCCTTTTACTTGCTAACAGTCTGAACTCAGTGATGATTGACTAGCATGATTGACTAGCATGTCATAGATTGTGTGTGACGGTTTCCAGCAGATTTGATCATTTCGATATTTTTGTATCTCATATATGATGTGTTAGGCTTTATAGGGTTAAAGAAACATATTCCTCTTCGGCAAAGTCATCTCAGGCTCACTGTACATCAGCATCGGCTCGAACAGGAACAAACAAACAAACGGCACCGCAGGACGGCCTGTGTGGCATCATGGGTAACGGGATCTTTTGAGGGAATCGTAGCTCAGAGTGAGAGATGATATATCTGGTGATGACAGAGCGCAGTCACACACTGATGCCTCTGTGTTTCAGACATCAGCCTCGGGATACACTCACTGTCTCTCTCACACACACACACACACACTCGCTCGCACAATCTCACACACACACACACACACACACAATCACTCACACACATTCTCTCTCTCTCACACACACACACTCGCTCGCACAATCTCACACACACACACACACACACAATCACTCACACACATTCTCTCTCTCTCACACACACACACACTCGCTCGCACAATCTCACACACACACACACACAATCACTCACACACATACTCACTCTCTCACACACACGCGCACACTCTCTCTCACACACACACACACACACACACACACGATCATTCACACACATTCTCTCTCTCACACACACACACACACACTCGCTCGCACAATCTCACACACACACACACACACACACAATCACTCACACACATACTGACTCTCTCACACACACGCGCACACTCACACACACACGCGCACACACACACACACGATCATTCACACACTCACTCTCACACACATACACACACTCTATCTCTCTCTTTCTCTGTCACACACACACACTCACTCACACACGCGCACACTCTCTCTTTCTCTCTCACACACACTCAAATTCTCTCTTTTACACACTCACACACGCACATAATCTCACACACAATCACGCGTGTGCACACATACACACTAACACACACACTCACTTTCTCTCTCACACATACGCGCACACTCACACACACACACACAATCCCTCACACACACTCACTCACACACACTCACATTCTCTTTTACA